GTTGCTGTCGTGACACCCTCCCTGCGTCTGTCTCAATTTTTGTTTGAATATTTATACAATCATACTTTAGTGATTTCTTCTGTTGTTTCAAAAGTGGAGAAGTTATGCCTCTATTCTTTCTTCTAATTAATTTATAATTTGATGAAATACTCCATAGAAAAAAGTCTTGAGCTATAGCTTGATTGGTTATTGATTTCGTTGTTTATTGTTGTTTATTTATTGTTGATTCGTTGTTTATTCTCCCTTTTTTGGGGGGTTCTATTGTTGCTAGGTGGAATATATTTTTCTCCCTAATACTCATGAGTTGAATTTTACTTGATTCCCTATTCCTTCCTTCCAATTCTTGCTCATTTCTTCCTCATTTTTTGGTATGTGTTCCATAAAATTTTGTCACATTTCTGCTGCAACTTACTGCTTTCTAAATGATTTTAATTGTTCTGTTTCAAAATTCGTCTTGCACTGTTCTTATTTCGTAACTTCTGTATTCTCTTATCACCCTGAAATAGTTAATATTTTCTTAAGACATTCACGTATTTCTTGGGTGAGCATTATTAATGTCTACTCTCTTTTTTGTTGTTTTATCTTTTGTACTGTAAAACTTTTTGGTTTTTCTTACCTTACAGTTATTTTGGTCATCTTCAGAGGCCAGGAAGGTCCCAGGGACCCAGGTCGCTTTTGGTCAGGACTGTTTTCCTGGCAGTGTTAACTGGCATATCGTAGATGCTCAGCCTATAATGCCGAATGACTGACTTGGAGAAAATGTTCTGAATCTCCTATCCCAGTACCTTATTTAATGACAGGATAGACATCTAGAGTCTCAATAAGCCCCACTTGTTCTTAAAGTTAATTGGGGTTGAAATTAAGTTGAGCAGGGTATGACATGAGGGGAGACTAGTTGATTGGTGATGAATTCGAGTCCAGAACCAAATGGATTCTGCTTTAATATTCTTTCCAAGTCTGAGTCTGCCAGTATCAATAACGATTGTGGCTATGTCCCAGTCCTGTTTCAGCTGTGCAGTTAATGGGAGAAGGTTCCTACTAAGGCAGCACTTGGAGATTTGGGGGAAGTTGGGACAATGAGATTAGTATTTCTTCAGGTATCGATAAACTAGGTCCCAGAAAGAAGATCTTTCCTGAATTGGGGTTAAACCATCAGGTTGACTGCTCTTGATCACATCTGATTGGTATTGGAGGTTGGAGAAAGCCTTAGCAGAAATTACAATGTGCTTGATTTCCACAGTTCATTTCAGCTGTGACTATAGGTTTTTCTTCCTCACTGATTTCATGTATGTGTTTGTTTGTTTTTTTTTAAAGATTTTATTTATTTATTTATTTTCCCCCCAAAGCCCCAGTAGATAGTTGCATGTCATAGCTGCACATCCCTCTAGTTGCTGTATGTGGGACACGGCCCCAGCATGGCCAGAGAAGCGGTGCGATGGTGCGCGCCCAGGATCCGAACCCGGGCCGCCAGCAGCGGAGCACGCGCACTTAACCGCTAAGCCACGGGGCCGGCCCTCATGTATGTGTTAATGGAAGTGTATCCAGTGCATTCTGTTACTCTGCCATCTTTCAGGAAGCTTCTATAATTTCTTAGCCACGGATGGCTTTGAAATTAGTTGAGCTATGTAAATGGTGGTTAGGGCTGGCCCCGTGGCTTAGTGGTTAAATGCACGTGCTCCGCTACTGACTGGCGGCCCGAGTTCGGACCCTGGGCGTGCACTGATGCACTGCTTGTCCGGCCATGCTGAGGCCGCGTCCCGCATACAGCAACTAGAAGGATGTGCAACTATGACATACAACTATCTACTGGGGCTTTGGGGAGGAAAAAA